GTTCACATTTCTCCGCGCGAAACTTGGTCTTAGGTTTCTCCTTCCCAAGTGGAGTAGGTGCCCGGGCCACTCAAATTACACTAGAGAACACCACCAGGAGGCGGACCACGGCAACTTCCATCGTTTGCTTATTTTTATAGTGTCAGCTGTACGCTCGCAAGCGAGCACTTGGCCCGCACAAAGCTCAATTTGTAAAAACTCCTTGCCAAAATTCGAATTTTCACGCCCGTCGAAAACGTATCCCTCTTCTGCATCATCTTGTAAACTTGTCCTGATACCTCTCACGTCCATCCCAAAGAGCTATCTCCCAGATTTGTGCTCCACGCTTTGCTTCCTCCGTCGGGTATAAGTATTGGCGTGGGCGTGTATTTGGTGACCGGCTGAGGCCAGAGAAAGTCGATGAGAGGTGTGGTCATTGAAACGAGGATGTACTAGGTCGTACTTGTAGACTTGATCAAGCTTTTTTTGAGAATCGGACTCTTTGAGAGTGAAAGATTGAGATGGTGAGTAATTTGAATTTTTGCCTCGTGGGCCAACTTCTTTGATATTGCGAAATTTGACTGAACTTGGCTCTGGGATAATATTTCACTCCCAGGTTCGTAGAGGACACCGCGTACAGGTGTTCAGTCTTGCCCTCCCCTGCAGGGAGCTGCAGAGTTGTTAGCATCCAGGAAAAGAACTCTCTGCCTTCCCAGCCTTATTTGAGCCTCTTCCTGTTGTGATGAGATAACCGCAGTAATTCTAAAAATATCTCTGCCTAGTGTTGGAGATACGATACATGTAGACGAGTACTGCACAGCCCTACATGGCCAGCAATACGCTGAACTATTTGGGCGCTATTAGATTGAGTTAATAATTGGAAACAGCATGAATGAATTGAGACGACATGAATTAATCTGCTCTAAAGTCTGTGGAAGTTGATGTCTATATGAACCCCATTGCTCTTGGCTTACAGTGAGGACACCGATACTATCTCCCCTCTTACACGTTCCGTAACCGTTAATAATGGGCCGGGGAGTCTGGTGTTTAAGTAAACCTTAGTCATGAACCCTTTTGAGACCTATATTTCTTGAAGCCAACTCTGACGGCAATTATCCCAAACGTGTATCAAATTGGTGCTGAGTGGAATCTCGATGGTCCTCTGTTGGAAATATCGCGCAATGAAATGGGCGTAATATTCCGTGAACGAAAGAAGCTGACTAGAAGAATGGGAGTTGTGCGCTACAAGTACAAGTGTAAACGACATAGAGCCTAAGCCACAGTATAGACGAATGTGGCACCATCTAGGCATAGAAAACCCCCAATAACCTTCTTGTGCCCACGCCATACAGCCGCTCATGTCTCCGATGGGTAGCCTGAAGCGCTATCATATTGCCCACTCCAACCTCTTAAATACACACAAGATCGAGTCGGGAACCTAGACGAAATGGAGGGCCCGTACGTCCACAAAACTCTGTGTCTCCATTTCCAACCTCTCCAAGTCCCGAAATTTTGTCCACTACGAAACCGAGAGAGGCGCAGCTTCACACCATGGCATAAAGTAAGCAGGGAAAGTAAAGCATAAAATAGTAATTGTATCAAATACTACAAAGACTGAGATGTACTGTATAGTGGGCACCAAATATTTATAAGGAGGTCCTATCTACCACCATGAAATGTAGATAGATCATTACGAAGCTCTTCTTCACATCATCAAGCTCAGATAATCGATGTCCACTTTTCTCTGCTATATCTAGCCTATTCAACATTCCATATCAATTAGTACCTTAATCACAATACTTCCGTCATACGCTATATCTATGAGAACAAAAATTGGCATATTTCAAAATTAAAATTTGTGAAACGTAATTAGAGTCATTTGTTGGACTCACGAAGTCCTCCGTATTCGTAGACTCAGTAGAGAATATAATGTAAATCGAATCTAGTCCGTCATACGCTTGCAAGACTAGATTTGTGATCAATTTAAATGTCAAATGGTATGGAGAGATGGTATACACTGTAATGTAGCCTAGTTTAACATCAGATTGTCTTTAATCGTGGGTAACTCAGTAGATTTGTTGGCAGTAGAAACCAACCTGACCGGTGTTCATTACAACCTCGGCTAAACAGACTGTAGTGAGCGGTGAAAGTTGGTAGGGATTTTCGTTGACAGGCGTCAACTTTTACCTTTTCTCCGCACGTACACAAATTTGTACTTGAGTGTTGGCCCACTCTCAAACGTTACCATGGACAAGTGAATTTAAAAAGGAAATAATTATGCGGCGAATAACCCTCAAGCAGTTTATTTCATACGATGGCACCTATCATATTTTGCATCACACCATTTATAACGAAACATTTGATTTGCAGCTGGATCTTAACCACATGAGTTTCTTCCACTAAGGCATGAGCCTAGTAATTACTAAGGCCAAACTTTAGCTAGGTGAGGCTTCCGGCTTGGCCTGGTGCGTGAGGGCAGAAGAATAGTGCATGAAGGCTGATAAACTGATATGTTCGATTTGTTTATTGTTTTAGGTCATGCCAGCGCATAGCACTTCATTTAGGGTCATGTTTCGGTGTGGTCACTTTCGAAAAGCTACGCGCCGTGCATCAGCTAGTCGATAACACCCCTATCAAGCGCCATTAATATCAAATGCGTCGGGGCTGCTTGCTGTCTAGGATTTTAATAAACTAAAAGAGAGACAAATGTTAAATATTCAAACAATGAAATAGGCACTACACATTACAGATATGTTCTCAACCAAACTGAAGAAAGTATAGGGCGAGATCCCTTGTTTGTTATGACACTTGGTTTCACATAAAAGTGACGTAGGTTGTAGCCTATACTTGACAGCAACATCACCGTTTGGATACTCTAGAACCCCGAGAATTCAAAAGATAGGGTTTAGAATTCGGTGACGAGGATGTGTCTGGCTAGGAACTGATCGGCGAAAAGAATGATCTGATAAATCTTGTTGAACATGATACAGAGTGAAAGAAGCGATTGGGAGATCCAGTAGCCGTTAACCCGAAATGCAATGATGTATATTTTCATAATACATGAGGGTCGTCCGAAAGTTTGACAGACTGAATGAATAGACGGGAAGGATGGGGTGCTAAGAAATGTAATAATATGGGGCAAGTGAAGACTATAATCTTTAGCCTTGGATGAGATTTTAACATCACGTAGTAGGCTCACTGCGAAGTAGATCCGAGATAGTTTGGATCCAATGATGAGAATGATGCGGAGATTAGAGTAGTCGAGAAAAGAGTCTGGTTCAAGTTAGTATAGAAGGCTTTAAGACATTGCGCTGTAGATAAATTTAGCATTAACAACTATTGTGCCAGTACAAGGTCAAAACATACAGGAAATCAAATTTTATCAATATCATTTTTTCTTGGTTAAACGATCGAGTCTATGACTGTGTGATAAAATGTAAGTCTCTTCTAGATCGAAGCCGGATGCATGTACGCCTCCTTCACGACTTCTTTCTAGCAGCATTACGCCCACATTTCTTCAATGAAGTACACACTAGGAGGAGCCGTTGTCCAGGCTTTGTCTCCCCTCTCCAGTCAACGAAATGATAAACGTCTTGAAGTGTATGGAAGCCAGGGAAAATCGTAAAACCACTGGATGCGGGGCTCTCCTAATACCGACGTCAAAACAAAATTCGAAGACATAGTGATCCTTCTGAAGCTTTCGAAGAGGCCAGCTAACAGGGCGCAGTAGACGTGAGCAAACTTAAGAGCGACTTTCAAACTTCCCACCCTCCCCTTACTATTCTACTAATTCATGCCGTATAATAAATCGAAAATCATGACTTTTTGTCATTTTAGTCTTTGACTAGACTGATTACCAAGTAGTAGATCAGCCTAGCATCCAAAAGTTGTTGCGGACGTGGGGTTATCGAGTAACTCATGTACTTCAGATTCTCACTTAGCTAGTAAGTTCGGAAGGAAGGATGTATACAATGACTTTTAGTGAAATGTCGAAATCTACTTTTCTCGAGGGTGAAAGGGTCATTTACTTTGATTGGCTGCCGGTATTTTATTTTTGCATCAGATTTTATTTGCGGATGCAGCTATCTAGCTATTACACAATATCGGAGAAAAAGTAGAGAAAAGATGACCCAATACACAAATGGAGCACTCTTGTCTGGGATTTCATTTGCAAGCACCACTGCGAGGTTATGGTGGATTTTTCTTCACCTCAAGTCGACCCTCATCCGTGAATACCTACTTAGGGGAACGTCTCAAAAACCCTGGGTTATCCAGACATGCCTCCGTTATCAACTAATTTCTTCACGCGAAGTGTGGACTGAGGTGTCTCCATCTCAAGTGGAGTATGTGCCCAGGCTACTCAAACCTTACCAGAGAACGTAGGTAGGAGGCAGACCGCGGCACCTTCCATCATCGGCTTGCTTTTAAGTGTCAGCCGCACTCTGGCTGCCGGTAGATAGGGTGCGTTAGGTTATGAGGACTCACAGACTGTCGTTGCAGCGTTTAGCACTGCAATATCTTTTTTGTCTGCTAGCGTCGTCCTCGTCATCTTTTCTGTCGTAAGTGTTATATGAGGCATATCTCTAGGGCGGGGAGATAATCCATTCTATAGGCAAAATTGTGTTTCAATTCAGGCTCTTCAGATTCTCCACTGAAAACTGGAGGCTCTAAAGAGAACCGCTAACAATTGCTGAATTCCCATCCCCTTTTTTTGATAACTCCTTTGTGCCCTGAACAACTATTGAAAATAGCTAGCTGATGGAATGGGGATCGCCAGGATCACGCAACACTGCCCGACACGTCATGAGACAACAGTATTTTTACGACATAGAAATAAGTCCTTGTTCATATTAGATATGCCGCGGAATTATCAATGCCCAGCCGCTTATTCTTGAAGTGCTTTATTATCTAAGAATGCCAGTGCAATTATTAATTAACCCAAACGAGAACCTCCGACGTTACGACAACGTTTCCTTGTTGTTCATTCCTCAAATTTCTTATCAGAAAAATTCTCACTTACCATGGCGGACCCTGCTACCGCCAAAGAATATTACGGTTACTTATTTAAAGATAACAAGCAGCCAACAAAAATATTGGATGCGCTACTACGAGGAATCGCTATCCATATAGTACATTCGCCCAATTTCCAATGCAGGAAAGATATAGCTCCCTGCTAATATCTAGCAGATTGAAAATGTTGGAAATGTACAGGAAAAGTGGCTCATGCCCGAGAAAATGGCTGCATTCTACAAGATTGTTGGTGGGAACTATGATTGTCTGCCTCTCCTTTTCCATCTGATGGGTCGCTAACAAATTTTCAGCCCTTTTTGTCAATGTTCCTCCGTCTTCAATCTCATGGATTTACACCTCAATAGGCTGTCAACATTTGCTTCTTCCCACCGCCGATGACTTTACCCCCCCTTCAATACCCTCACTCACAGTTGCTGGATTTGTTAGATGGCAGAGTATCGAGATTCTTCTCGGGCCAGATGAACATGTTCCATTCATCCAGAAATCACTTCGTCTCTTTCACCTTAGACATCCGGACACAAATGAACCATTTCCAGTAGAATTACCCACCGAATCATTTCCAAGCGTTCCAGATGCCGAAATTGAGGCATGGCACGGCCAGTGTGCTCAGCGTTTACGTACGCGTGTATCCCCAGCCGAGAATGAGGGTCGGATCTTCATGACAAGGCACAAGGTCCAGACTGGTTACGCCAAAAGGGAACCGTACGGTGAACAAGAGGCTGAAACTGATTATTTCAATTTTCGACCCAAAAACCGATCTAGACCGAGCCAAACAGATCTCCATAAATCTGAATATAATAGGCCAAGAAATAGTTTTCAATACACGGCTCAACAGGACCCCATAGTACCAAAAATAAAAATTTCTAAGAAATGCCGAAAGGAAGTCAACCATCCAGACTTCAAATACCCCTCCAAAAATATCAATCCAGAAATACATGAGATAATAGTTGAAGAAGAGCCCGTGCAAGCTTTTAAGTCTCAGTATGAATCTATCCGAAGACGCCATACCCTTCCAAGGCGCCACAACAGAAAGAATGGAGGCTCAGATACAAGTAGTGATGAGAGAGAATTTGTTAAACGAGACAGTGGATCCAGGGAGAAATATTCCCGCGCACGTCAACAAAATGATCCAACCATAGGAAGGTCTCGTTCGTACGGTCGAAAGGATTATGAACGAAAACTCGCTGAAAACCCCTCAAACATTTCCCCCAGTAGCCTTTATGTCTCTCCAGTGGAATCAAGAACTAGGTATAAGCATCGAGTGCCGATTGAAGAACAAATTGAGCTTAATGGTCGAAAATCTCAATCTCGTGGTGAGAACTTGAATGCACAATACTCCTATCGCAGTAGAGTTGATGACTCACAACGACGTCGTCGAAGTGGTAGTCATGGTGCGAATTTGAGATGGAAAGACCTTCTCGACGAGACTACTGCAGCTTTATGGAGAGGAAAATAAGAATGTGAATCCAAACTAGAATGGTCACCAAAGGAAGAGCTTAGTGGTTTGGCTGAAAACTATTCATAAATTATGGGCTCTAAGACCCTAAGATCTCTCCAAAACAGGCTGATAACCCTCTCGTATAGAGTACTGCAAGCTCTCTCGTACGATATATACACCGAAAGTAAATAACTGGAAAGTTTTAAAGTCATGAAAACTTCCCTGAAATTTCAGCGTGAAATTTCTGAATAAATATATTTGATCCACGCCGTTTTGTGACGAAAGCCTGCCAACTTCAAAACAGTCAACTACAAGTCATATAAGAATGTATGTGTTACAGATTTGGGTAAAATATCCCTCTTGGTGTGACTCAACATGTTCAAAATAATTTGCCTTATTGGTTTCTTCAAATAGTACGAAAAGAAATAAGTCAATACATGCTCTTGCAAGAAAAGATTAAGTCATTCATACTATCTTCATCTTCGGTGCCATCCTTGGATGTTTTCTTCTCGTTAGGTACAATTCTCGCCGAGAGAAATATTGAAGTCGCACAACAAAAAAAATAGATATCGTATAACTCCGAATATTACAAATGGTATCTATAAAAAAATAGGACTTTATTATCGTGGACGAAGATTTTATCATATTGCCATAGTAATTCACGCTACAAGATAGCAGATAAAGTCCATGATCGAAACATTCTATCACAAATGATAGCAACAATTGGAAATTAGACTATTTAGAAACACATAAGTGGCTCAAAACCTCTTCTCACTCACAAATCATTAATTTTTTAGATTTCATGAGCTCTCAAGCATCATAACTGAAGAGTCCATCTTTCAAAAATAGAGAGAAATATATTGCTCCAGTATCATCTGTACATACATCGACAAGATAATCCAACAATTTTCTCTAGATTTACTGGTTCTTGAGGGGCATCCTAGTTAATTCATGTGATCAATGTTAGTCGGTAATCACCTGCGCAATTACAGATCCTAAACGTATAACTAGTAAAATGTCAGAACTTAGTAAATTAAGTTTAGCGGAGTGATGATTCTGGAAAAGAAATATTGGGAAATGGAAAGAAAACACTCAGATTCACTCGCTAAAGACTAAGAAATAGTTAAAGAATATAATCGAAGTCTTACTAAGTCTATCATTATGAAGCACTAATAAATTATCGACATTCATCAGCTGCGTAGACTTATAAATTTTCTTGGTCTATGGAGAGAAAGTCTATATACTCAATTCAGTCTCAAACTCAGTGCGAATGACATGACATCATAATAATAAGATTGACTCTGGAAATCAAATTTTTTTTAATTCTTTTTTCGATAACCCTGTGTCAACGCACGTCTATGGACTTAAAGCCACACAGAACTTATAGGTCTATATATACAAACTATTGTGCCATCGCACTGAACAATTCTGAAAACTTCTAGCAACGTAAAACAATTATACTCACTGACCTGTATCCAACAAATAAACCAAGAATTTAAGGGGGTTGGCTCTGTCGTGCTCTAGGGTAAATATCTGCTCACTCGCCTGTATAGCGCTCATGGCTCAACTTTTTTTTATTTCATATATCACTGACTCTCCGATAGAATTAGTCCGTAGAAGCTTAGAACAGTATTCCTGAGTGTATGCTCCGAAACATGTAAACAACTTTTATGATTTAAAACTTCACTAGCTTCTTCCATACGTGCTTTGGAAGGTACTGTATTTGTTGACGTAGGCTAAATCTACTTGCAGATAAATAATGGTTGGTCACTTTTTTCTTGATTCTCTATCAAAGCTATCTAGAGGGGGTTATCTTATGTAGGTGCCAACGCCCTACATTTCAGGCCAGTCGGAGGGATCCGGGCGGTATTAAAAAAGGGCTCCCGAGTCGTTAATTTTTATACTTTTTGACAAAACTCATAAATTTCAAGGAACAATTGAAGTTGGTGCAGGTGACCAGTTAAACCCAGTACCTTCTTGGTTTATGAGTAAGTCTCACTAATATAATTTCGTTTGTTCTTAAAATACCTGTTGTGGGGAGCTTCGACTAATACAGTAACACGAGCTTCGATTGACAATTCATCGAAGAGCTCTCCAAAATCGCACTTGTAGGAATCCATCTTAGTTATAGGAGGATTACTCGTCCTCATATATAAATGGAGCACCAGTCACAGGCTTTTGGTCCTCTATGATCTTCCAATGATTGTTTTATCAATTACTTTATGTCGTACCGGCGCATAACACTAGGCTACGAGAGCTAAGGGCTTGTTAGCTCAGTCTAAAAATAGTACCCCATGTGCCAACTCACCCAAAGATCTTAGAAGATTAAAAATGAAGGCCCAGCAACTGCAAAGCGCTTCAGTAAATTATGAGAAGTTTGAATCTTTAAATGCCTCTGCCAACTTTCTAGGTTACGGCATCCTAGTCTTGAGTCATCCATTTTAATAGCTTCCAAAGCTTCTGTGGCCAAGCATCTCTCCCATCTTCACTCGCAGGCCTTGGTTTCTTCACTAGATATTTACAATCAGCAACAAAAGTCTGGCGTCCTTCGATAATTTCCCGTCGATATTAGTGCAGTAGAAAAAGGTCACAGTTTGTATTGCGGTTTTTTCGACATTAAATAGAGAGAAAATTAAGGATTTTTAGCGTGTATAAGGGTAGTGCGGTGTTCAGCCTGAAATAATATTTGCTTGAGTGCTGATGAATATTTTATCGTTTGTGTAGTGGAGAAATTTCTGCTAACCGGAGGTTCCCTTCAAAATATACCAAGCATCGCTCTTTTGAAAAATGTCCAGCTTTGAAACAATCAGTTTGACCGTTAGGGGATGACTGAATCTTGGTTCTGGGTGAATACTCGACTCCCAGATTCTTAATGGACTCCACGTACAGATATTCAGTATTTGTCCTTACGTTCAGATATTACATTGTTATGATTGCCCCATAGTAGGAGTAATTCATTACTAATTCTTGTAAATTCGTGTTTATTTTCTAATTAGATTAGAATTTTATCAAAGCCTCTACCGAGCCTTAGACCATGAAAGACCGCTATATGCTACATGATTAACTTTTAATTATTAGTATTTCAATGTATTTTCCTATTTAGTTTACGACTATGTGAGGATAAATAGGGCCGGAAGTATCTATGCCTCGGTTAGTGTACTGTCTCCTTTACCTCTTTCACGATTTATTTCAGGCAGCCGTACGCCCACTCTTTTTTAATTTGAGTACACACTAAGAGCCGTTATTCTGACACTACATCCCCTGTTCAGTCAACGAAACGATGAAGATTTCGCAAGTGTATGTAAGCCAGAGAAAATCGCAAATCCACTCGGTGTGGGGCTATCCTAACACCGTTATTAGGACTAAATCCGAAGACATAGTTACCCTTTTGAAGCGTTCAAAGAGACCAGCGAGCCAGCTACTGGCTGAGCTCTGCTGTAGCTTGGACGTTCGTGTGTTACAGATATCCTTCTTACGTTCCATATCCCAATGGGCTGGTGGCTTGGCCCACATCAGTAAATAATACACCATAAACATACCATCTATCACATCCAGCCACCAGCTGTCTCAACATTCCGTGAACGCTCCCAAGATGTTCTAGATATATTTTTCAGGAATATCTTAAACCAGATGACACATCATTCAAGGATTTAGACGACTTTCCTGATTATTCAACGCCAAAATTCGAGTGAATGGATGGAGTTGACTAAGTTTTGGAGGTATTTTCCTACGTAGCAATATGTTTACTGAAAATTTAAAACAGAGCCAATTAATCATCTCAAATGTTTCAGGAGATTCGGGTTATTTTACGAGGAAAATTATGATAGCATTGTTAATGTTTTAAATGCTGAACTAGCGCTTCTACCATCAAATTCCCCAACACCTAAAATTATTAACCAGGTCTGAGAGAAGGGAATCAGATAAATATTTGTTCGCTGGAATGATATAAGCTAGGTAGTCGCTTGATCAGACATAACCGCATCCTTCTCCCCTCACATTTCAGTCTTTTTCTAGATGCCTACCCTTGGAGTAAACAAAACGCTACTGTGCGCGTCGCGTGATATACGGTCTCGTGTAAGCTTTAAAATATAAAATCCTTGCCATATTTGCTGCAAGGTGAGGATGAGCTGGGGTTCAGCTCGTTGTAGAGCCGGAAGCTCCTGATACTCGAGCTTCATTGTCTCGAACAGGTTGAAAAAATGGGTGCGCCATGGCTTCTTTTGCTGTCAATCGTTCCTAATAAGTTTTAGAGAGACTAATATAAAAGTGACTGAGGGAAATAATACTTGATGATCATATCTTAGTAATTTATCCAAGAAGCTGATAGCCTCGTTCGTGACGAATCTCTGGTTTTCTGAATTGATAAAACTGTGCCAACTTTTTTTCTGAAACCTCCCAAGTATATCATCGTACTGTGCATCCAATTCGATCTCGTATTTATCTAAATAATCAAAAAGGTCCTCTGTCCCTAAAACTTTGGCAATCTTGACGAGCTGATCCGAATTGCTGTTTCCATGAAAGAAGGGTTCCTTACGGAATATCATTGATGCAAACATAGCCCCCAAGGACCACATATCAAGTGAATAATCGTACTCTTGGAAGTCAACGAGTAGTTCCGGACCCTTGAAATATCGGGAAGCAACTCGAACATTGTACTCAGTCCCCTTATGATAAAATTCGGCAAGACCCCAGTCAATTAGTCGCAACTTGTGTATTGAGTCAGAGCTTACAAAATTTCTTATTGAACTGTACGTACTTTTCGGTTCTCATGATCGATCATCACATTGTGTGGTTTTACATCTCGATGCATAATACCCTTACTATGGCAGAAGTCTAATGCCTACAGCTTGTCAAAAATTGGCTTTTAAAAATGTGTATATGTTGCTTACCTTTAGTAGCTCATATATGTAATATCTCACATCGTAATCGACAAACTTCGGGTAAAGCGAACGAAAATCGGTATTATTGACGTGTTCAAATATGAGGGAAGGTGTTTTGCTCTAGCCAGGTTGTTAGTAGCCAGTCTATGGTACCTTCAGTTTTGACTGGAAGTAGATCTTCCAAACATTGTACTGAAGTAAAGAGAATTTAGAGTCGATACGAAGGCAAGAAAGATGAATTTACTTGCTGATCCCGTACGACATCAAGTAATTCAACAATATTCGGGCCTCCAGATAGGTTCTGTAAAATCTTGATTTCGCGCTTAATCTTCTTCTTTTTTACTGGTTTGAGAACTTTGATAACACATTTTTGGTAATTGACAATGTTGATACCTTCGAAGACTTCCGAATACTTGCCACGCCCAATTTTTCGTACAACCTCATGGTTTTCTAAGACTCCCCACGTAATGTTGACCGAGTCGTAGTCCCAATAACTACGAGGCATCTAATGCGAGATTAGCTTCTTATATCGTCGTCTTCATTGATGGAAGGAATAGAAAATTGATGCCAGACGGACTCAGGCCCTACGTACCGTTTGGTTCACATCTGCATAAACACGCGCCATCTTTGTCGTATTTTATTCCTAGTTTCGATTTCTAATCTATGCGAGAATTCGTACAGGATCTGTTGAGAATTAATGGATTAAATCTTGCTGAGTTAAGCACGCCTTTGGCGACTCGCGAATTGAGACAATGCGCTATCGCGCGTTGCAAAAATTTAGTTTATGGTCTCATGTAATTCTAGCTTTAAACAGGGCCCGTTGCCTACATGAGTCGAGTATGCCCGTTCTATTCTCTCATAGACTCGTATCGTGGACAGTCCGATTTTAGTTGTGAGAGGGGTAGCTACAAAAGTTGATCTCGCGAAAGGTTGATCAAATGCCGCAGCAGGATATGCCCGATACCGTTGTCGAATATTTAGTGCAAATTTAATTGTTTATGACTTGATACATCTACGCACACTAGTTGCAACCCTACTAAACAGATTTCAGCGATTTGGTAACTCTCGCCTAAACGTCTCTACAAACTACTGAAACCCCTCTCAGAAGCTATATTGCGCATTTTATAATCACTGCGCGACGACTGTTTCCATACGAGTTGGAACCGAAATGATCCAATTGTAGCCCCTCAAAGCAGTTCAAGCTGCGAGGAAACGCGGAGATGCTCTTTGATCTCAATATTCCTTGGACACCAACAACCTCATTATCATCGCTCGAAAAAATTTTATCCTTTCAATCCGAACTAGGATATAACACAATCGCACTATCCTATACCCAATCTGATAAATCATTGCCGTCGAAGCTTACGAACCCGATACCTATTGATCTTCCATTCAATATTCCATCAAAAACTGTTGTCTTGCGCAGATGCACGCTTACCCTTTCCGATCCAGCACACAACCATCGTCTCTCGAGTCTCGCTTCTCTCTACGACATTCTAGCTATCCGTCCAACAAATGAAAAGGCTTTTCTCGCAGCATGTCTCCAGACCTCAGAGCATTCCATCATTTCACTCGACCTTACTACCCGCTATCCCTTTCACTTTAAGCCCAAAATCCTAATGACTGCTATTAATCGTGGAATTATGATAGAAATCTGCTACAGTCAATGTATCACTGCGGATACAACAGGCCGTAGAAATTTTATCAGCAACCTGTTAAGTGTTACTCGCTGTACTAAGGGAAGAGGCTTAATAATATCAAGTGAGGCTAGTAATGTGATGGCGTGTCGAGGAGTTGCAGATATAACTAATTTACTTGGTGTGTGGGGTCTGAGCCGAGAGAGAGCTGTAGAAGGGTTTAGTCTCCACCCTAGAGGTGTTGTTGTCAATGAGAAATTAAAGCGATCTGGGTACAGAGGAATCATAAATGTCATAGATGGCGGCCCGAGTGACCCCTCATCAAAATCTAAAGAGAAAAGAGGTATAGAAACAGATAGAGCCGAAAGTAGCTCATCTTTAAGCAAAAGAGCAGCAAAACGAGCAAAAATGAGGGAGCAACATGAAAAATTGACAAGCATGGGCGCAGGTGATACATTACTGCCTTGAAAGACTGGAAGTTTGTAAAATTGGTCGTTAATTAGATTCCGATAGAAAATCCAATTTATCCAACAATTTATTCACTACAATTCGATGTGGAAAAGAAGGATAGTTTTAATCGTGATAATTTCCGCTAATAATTGTTACTACCGTTAATATTGAGAAACAGGACAAAAAATTTCAAGCTGTAGAGTTTCATTTTCTAATCCTAAAATATCTCGCTATCCTCGGAATCTTATCTGTTCCTCTTCGTGTCAGGCTGACTCCTAGCACGACTGAACTTGTTGAACCACTAAGGAGTGCGTTTCGCGAGTTTTCGTCTTTTAATGCCTCCCCTACCCCAGATGACTTACCTCCTTTTGTACTAACAAGAGGAAGCTTAACCTCAGACAGTCCTGATTCAGATGAAGGTAGGGCTTTATTCGAGTCAGTTCCTTGTGAGCCTTTGGAAAGTTTTGGTACAGGAAGAAACAACGCTGACGACTTCGTATCTTCGTTAGACGTCGTGACTTTAGGTACTGGAAGTAACACCTCGGATTCCGGCGATTTTGGAGATTCTTTGGGCAAAGTGTCTAGTGTAGGTTTTAACCCAGACACAGGCAAACTTTCGAGACCTTCGGATGGTTTAGTGGGATTTTCAGTGGGCAATTTCGGTGTGACCTGAGGAACTGTTGGCTTGTCAGAGGACCCTCCCGGCAAGTTCTCAGGATTACCAGATGTTGAGTTTCTTTCAGGTACGGTAGAAGGAGCTTCGGATAAGTTGTCAGAGTTTCCTGGAGTTGGCTGTAATGAATCTCCAGAATTTGTTTGTCCGTCAGGCACTGCAGACGGCGCTCCCTGTAAGTTCTCAGGATTACCAGATGTTGAGTTTCTTTCAGGTACGATGGAAGGAGCTTCGGATAAGTTGTCAGAGCTTCCTGGAGTTGGCTGTAATGAATCTCCAGAATTTGTTTGTCCATCAGGCACTGCAGACGGCGCTCCCTGTAAGTTCTCAGGATTACCAGATGTTGAGTTTCTTTCAGGTACGGTAGAAGGAGCTTCGGATAAGTTGTCAGAGTTTCCTGGAGTTGGCTGTAATGAATCTCCAGAATTTGTTTGTCCGTCAGGCACTGCAGACGGCGCTCCCTGTAAGTTCTCAGGATTACCAGATGTTGAGTTTCTTTCAGGTACGGTGGAAGGAGATTCGGATAAGTTGTCAGAGTTTCCTGGAGTTGGCTGTAATGAATCTCCAGAATTTGTTTGTCCGTCAGGCACTGCAGACGGCGCTCCCTGTAAGTTCTCAGGATTACCAGATGTTGAGTTTCTTTCAGGTACGATGGAAGGAGCTTCGGATAAGTTGTCAGAATTTCCTGAAGTTGGCTGTAGTGAATTTCCAGGACTTGATTGTCCGTCAGGCATTGCAGACGGCGCTCCAGACAAATTTTCAGGACCTTCAGAAGTTAAATCTGGCCTTACTCCAGGTATTACAGGCGTGAGAATGGCTGGAGGTTTTTGCATGTTTTCTGGGTCTAGTTTCCCGTCAGGGATTGCGGGTGGTTTTGATAGTCCATCAGATTTACTGGAAGGGGCTAGGGATGGATCTTGCATTTCAGAGCCAGAAAATGAGTCTGCATCACAAAAACATGAACAAGCACAAGCGCCATCAGGAAGAAGCTTCCCTTTCCCACTCACCGTTGTATCTGGAGATCCTGGTATTGACATGCCAGTTTCTGTCATAGGAAGTGACGACATTAAGCCAGGGCCGCATAGACATGAACAAGTACAAGCTTCTGTCGAGTTTTCACTTGGAGTTATAGAAGGGGAAGGTGCCGTTATATTTCCAGTTACATTTCCTGGCGCTAAAATGGCGGGAGTTTTGCCCCCTTTAATTTCACCGTTGATAGTCGAATTTAAGAACGAGTTGGTAGAATTAGAGCTCGGCTGGCCGGCGTCTAGAGCTGGCGGTCTTGGTAACTCTGACACACTTGGAAGCTTCGTAGTCCCAGTAATGTTAGCGGTAATCGAAGGTTTGGTATTTCCTGTAGCCATTGTCGGATTTGAAAGGGTGCTGGTGCTTATATATGTCTGAGAGGCAGTGCTCGATTGAGTTTCTGGGATCACTTTATTCTTTCCATCCATTAGGTCAATTACCGCATCAAGTATATTTTCTGGCGATTTATCCTTTAAAGAATCCTTCAGCTTTTCTAGAGCATTATCATTACCGAGTGAATCTGCGTCTATGTGGATAATTTTTTTCCCTGGTGATTTATCCTTCAGAATCTGCTTTAGATGTTCCAGAGAGTTGTCGGAATCCAACATTCCAGTTTCTAATTTAACCCCAGCATTTATTGACATGACGGTTACCTTCTTCGCACTCTCCGCTACACTAGCATCAAATTCTCCTTGAGCATCCATTTTATTTCCTGCTGCGTCCGGCACTAGCTTGTCATCTTCCCAAGCTGGCGATTCCTCGCGTGTCTCTAATGAGTGTGACGCCTTTGCTTTCATAAACCTCTGTACAGTCCATTGTGACTAACCTGGTTAGTATTGACACTTATTTCCTTCTCCATGCTTACATGAACCAGATATGAGGAGCCGAGTACAATCGAGGCTATGGGAGCCAATCTCATCTCATGTGAGTCTCCCAAGATGCTGTGTAAATAACTCGTTGTCCCAGCTATATTGCAGATCACGATAGGCAAAGTTTTCCAAAGGCCTGTCGGGAAAACTTTGATAGGTTACTTGCGGACTAATTGGAAAATGACTATCGATGTATCACTAGACCTAGAGGACGAACAGAAAGAGACGAACAATCTCATGTGACTTTTGCGACATACTGGGTAGGATACCCGTGTCTATTTGTGATATAGGTATCACTCAGACGTAAGGAGAATAAGGCGAAAAGCTGTGGCGACGTCAAGTACCTACCTGTTTTCGATATTTTCCCACAGCGGCGAGAGCCAAGACTTTGACCAGAAGGCGTATCGTAAGTGATTCGGTTCCTCCTCTGGGTTAGGTTTAGATCTATTGACTTAGGAAAAATGTGAGTTGTGGAGCAGGCATGAAACTGTAGTAGTTTCGACCTCTCCTTAACGCGGGTGGTTGCTGCTAAAGCATGCCTGCGACAAGTTCTAAATAAATCAAGAAACCAGACGCGCCCGGTTTGTGGTTGATTGAATTCCTTAGTCGTATCATAATTAATATTCCTGTTTGTATTATCTTACTGAATAAATCTCAGTACGATGTATTCAACACCTCTTTCATGTAGTCTTTCTCCGTTTTGACCCATGCAATTCCAGAAGAGATGACGGTAATAATTAGATGCAAATGCTAGAGGGTAGAAATGTAAGGATATTCTAACAATTCCCATGAGTATCATCAAATAAAATAGCTAGTACCCAAGAAAATAGCCGTGTATGACGTATATCATCATCATATGAGAGACTGTTGGGACGGATCAGAGATTTAAAGGAAATTCATTCTTTTTGTCGGATAGTGACAGATAATTAAATTTGTTTTTGGAGATCCTAAACTGGACAATAGCGAAGCCCCGCGAGCATCAGTAGGACCGTTGTTTAGTAGTAGGCGTCATGACTGAGTGAACACCCCTGCTTTCCGAGGCCCATTTGTGTCCACGGCAGTTTTATTAGCTCGCCCTCTCCGCCATGAGCCACAACATGTCAACAGCCCACCCGACTGATCAGCCAATAATGAATCGTATACGTGTTTTAGACGACTACTACTTAGCTATCACACTTCTCATAACCGTGGTATATCAGCTGTTGTTTTTTTCCGTGGCATACTCGCTCAAGTTCGATAAGCTTACTGGTATATCTTATCCTGAACATGCGGGGCCCCCCAACTGAAAGCTTTGCCCAGACTTTGCGGGCGGAACCAACTTTGCGCTACTAGCCATACTAACGCTGGGCTTCAGCGGGGAACAGGATGCGCGTCAAATCGTGGCGTCAATTTTCCTTGTGTTGTGGGCCATACGCCTCTCTGGATTCCTCCTTTTCCGAATACTCAAGACTGGCAAGGACGATCGATTTGATGACAAACGTGACAAGTTTTTTCCATTTCTTGGTTTTTGGATATTCCAAATGTTGTGGGTTTGGGTTGTATCCCTCCCGGTCACAGTTTTAAACTCACCTGGTGTCTTGAGATATGATCAACCGGCCTTTGGAACCTTTCAAGACGTTGTCGGTGTCATCTTTTATATAGTTGGTTTGACAATGGAGAGCGTCAGCGATCTGCAGAAATATCTCTTCAAAGCGAGAACCACTGATAAATATGCTTTCTATGATCAAGGTCTCTTCGCTTGGTCAAGACATCCCAATTACTTTGGAGATATTCTCACACAATTCGGCAGGTGCTCCCATCCTAAATTATATCCAAAGCTAAGGCAACACAGCAATATTTATGATATGCGTATCTCCTGCTACGCATAACTATGTGAGTGGAAAAGCGTATAATATTCTCTATGCCACCATTATCGGGCCTATCTTTTTAACTTTGCTTCTCATGTTCGTGAGTGGACTGCCCATCTCGGAACGCGCAACGGCAAAAAAGCAGTACGAAAACAAAATTCATTGGGAAGCTTATAAACTCTACACGGAACGAACCAGCATCTTGATACCTTTTATGCCCTCAATATACGCTAAGCTACCAATTAAAGTGAAGAGAACAATATTTCTAGAATTTCCAATTTACGTATTTAACCCTCCAAATCAAGCCAACTCTGAACCGCCAGAGGAAAGACTCGGGTCAAGGTAGCTGCAAGATGTTTTAGCAGGCCATAGTTGGACGTCTATACTCTTAGTAAGAACTAGATCAAATTTTCCAAATAATTCTCTTAAATCCATACCTGGGGGAGGACGTAGGGAGACCCAATCCTAAAAACAACACAGAAGTGTTTGAATGATCAATTCTTGCTGTCATCCAAGATTAAAATCGTTAAAATCCTTAGATATGATCAATACTAGCTCAAGGGCGGAGAATTTGAAGTTTCCTGTTCAGCTACACCAAGTAGTTTAGGTTTGCGTTAGATTCTCAGTCGAATATGGTCACTATGACCACAATTTAATATTTATGTCTAAAAATTTACAAAGTTCGTTCCGCAACACTATTTTGGGATATACATAAGTCAAGATGAGTAGGAACCGCAATGTGGGTTCTAGTTGGACGGTTAATGATGGGAATGATTTCACGTAAGCGTCTGGCTGTTCCGCTTTATCGACAATAGTATGTCTAGACCTTAAGACATAACATACACGGAAAATTTCTGGATGACTAAATCTCCAACTAAAATCTACCCCCGCATCATATGAACCAATCAACTGCGCAAGATGTTCACGATCGGGCTTTCACCAGTAGGGATCCGAAGTAATGTTACTGGAATTTTCTGCTTAGTGGCTGGTCGATTCCATTAAAGCCCTTCACACCCTCTGTGCCTATCTCACACATATTTTTATTAATATTTTAATGCACCACTGTTAGGGTGACTAAGGTGTGGTTTGAAGATCCATCACACTCGTTACGTTAAGTTTGATGGTATTTGCGAATTTATTCTTCTGTTGTTTATGTTCATCATTATACAGGATTCACAGCTATGGTTTGGGGGACTATTCTCAACACCTGTCAGCGGTGTGCCCTACGAACCTCCAGCTCTCACTGTAGAGTCTGCAGAGCCGAGATTGAGTAACAAAGTCCTCACTTCGACGAGGATTCCCAATCGCTTTCGCGGTCTGTATCGTCTTCATCTCTCAACACATTCCCCTATCACCATTATCATGAAGCTAATCACGATCAGATTAGATGGTAGCGTCGGAGCCCTACTCATCACCCACCCTTGATCATGGAGGAAAAGCCATCCGATAAGTTTCCAGAGCGTACCCAGCACCCGATACGGTGACGGTGGAATGGATCAAGTCGACCTCTAATGTTACAAAGAAGGGAGATGTAGATGAATATGCGCACCTCATGTGGTCCCGGTGTCTAGGCCTCGCATGGCTGGGACTGCAGGTTTTTTGAGACTTTTTCCCGCGTGCGCAGTTTCCATTGCTACCATTTTTTTTTTTTTTGGGTAGAAGGTTCCGTGGAAAAGGTGTCTGAATTCCACGGGTAAATACTGAGCTGAATGGCTATTCATTAAGGGGAATATATCAATGATCTTTCAAGTAACAAAAGAGGATAGGAGCACTGTACAAGGTGTGGCCTGGGTCAGAGAGGAGCCCAATGTGCTAGATGGTCATAGACTCAAGTAGCACAATAAAAACACACACACAGCTATAGTTTGGATTCTGGCTAGAGCAACAGTGCTTTGGTCTCATATCCCCAAATGATGACACACCAACTTTTACGATCTACTATGGTGCTACCATTTCAAGTTCGCAGTGGATTTAAATGGGGCGCATATTATCTTCAGGGGATATACCCCTGCTACCGCCCCATTCGACAGGATACTTAATTCTTATCCTGGATTCCAAGGCCTAAAATAAGGGCACAATTTAATTTCGTGTCACACTCCTTTTTTTTTTTTGCATAAGATTTTAATTGCGTATGCAACTATCCAGCTAATACACAATATCGGAGAAAAAGTAGAGAAAAGATGACCCAATACACAAATGGAGCACTCAAGCCTCAGATTTCATTTGCAAGTACCACTGTGAAGTTATGATGGCTTTTTCTTCACCCCAAGTCAAACCTCGTCCGTGAATACCCACTCAGGGGAACATCTCAAAAACCCTGAGTTATCCAGACATGCCTCCATCATCCGTTCAAATTTCTCCGCGCGAAACTTGGTCTTAGGTTTCTCCTTCCCAAGTGGAGTAGGTGCCCGGGCTACTCAAACTATACCAGAGAACACCACCAGGAGGCGGACCACGGCAACTTCCATCGTTTGCTTGTGTTTATAGTGTCAGCTGCACTCTCGCAAGCGAAGTCTTGGCGCGCACAAAGCTCAATTCGTAAAACTCTTGCCAAAATTCAAAATTTCACGCCCGTCGAGAATGTATCCCTCTTTTGCATCATCTTGTAAACTTGTCCTGATACCTCTCACGTCCATCCCAAAGAGCTATCTCCCAGATTTGTGCTCCACGCTTTGCTTCCTCCGTCGGGTATAAATATCGGTGTGGGCGTGTATTTGGTGGTCAACTGAGGCTAGAGAAGGTCGAAGAATGGTGTAGTTATTGGGATTAGGATGTACTAGGTCGTGCTTGTAGACTTGATGAAGCTTAGGTAGGAATCGATCTCGCTGGGAGTGAAAGATCGATATGGTGTAGTATTTTGAATCGGTGCCTAGTGGGCCAACTTGTTCGGTATTGCGAAGTTTGACTGAACTTGGCGCTGGGAGAATATTACACTCTCAGGTTTGTAGAGGACACCGCGTACAGGAGTTCAGTCTTGCCCTCCACTAATGAGGTTTAGTAGGAGGTAAAGACCAAATACAAACAATGCTGTTCAGAAAAAAACTGCCTTACATATTTTTTCGAAAATTTACCTTGACAGACAAGCTAACTTTAAGATGGAAGATGATTATACCCCAAGGGTCTTAGTTTGTACCCGAAAAACCCCTGCCAAAGCCCCACTACAAACATGACACCGTGGCACCACAGTAGGTGGACCGATGAGCACCTCACATGTGCTCTATTTAAAGTGCGTACTCGCTACAGCGATGTGACTACGTGAGGCTCTTTTCTATCGCTATGACGTGACTTTGGAGGGCAAGACTGAACACCTGTACGCGGTGTCCTCTACGAACCTGGGAGTGAAATATTCCCCCAGAGCCAAGTTCTGTCAAATTTCGCAATATCAAAGAAGTTGGCCCACGAGGCAAAAATTCAAATTACTCCACCACGTCAATCTTTCATTCCCAAAGAGTCCGATTCTCGACTAAGCTTCATCAAGTCTACAAGTACGACATAGTACATCCTCACCCCAATGATCACATCTCTAGTCGACTTTCTCTGGTCTTAGTTGACCGCCAAATACACGCCCACGCCGATATTTATACCCGACGGAGGAAGCAAAGTGTGGAGCACAAATCTGGGAGATAGCCCTTTGGGATGGACGTGAGAGGTATCAGGACAAGTTTACAAGATGATGCAAAAGAGGGATACATTCTCGACGGGCGTGAAATTTTGAATTTTGGCAAGAGTTTTACGAATTGAGCTTTGTGCGCGCCAAGACTTCGCTTGCGAGAGTGCAGCTGACACTATAAACACAAGCAAACGATGGAAGTTGCCGTGGTCCGCCTCCTGGCGGTGTTCTCCGGTATAGTCTGAGTAGCCTGGGCACCTACTCCACTTGGGAAGGAGACATCTCAGATTACATTTCGCGCGGAGAAAAGTTGATGGATGACGGAGGCATGTCTGGATAACTCAGGGTTTTTGAGATGTTCCCCTGAGTGGGTATTCACGGATGAGGGTTGACTTGGGGTGAAGAAAAAGCTGCCATAACTTTGCAGTGGTACTTGCAAATGAAATCTGAGGCATGAGTGCTCCTCTTGTAAATTGAGTCATTTTTTTCTGTACTTTTCTTTGATATTGTGTCATAGCTAGATAGCTGCATACGCAATTAAAATCTGATGCAAAAAAAAAAAGACGTGACTTTTTTGATTAGATGTTAGTTTATGATTGAAATAATTACTGACAAGGGCGCAAAGCAGTCTAGCGATTCAAATTCGAAGTGAGCACATGGGGCTTAACTCGTATTTATATAAAAGAAAAGTGCCCGGAGTCTACAGTCCAAGCTGTACATGTAGGTACCAATCGCAGAACCCCCAGCACATGATTATGTCCTGCCCCCGATAGTCAAATGGTAGAGCAGAGATCTGTAGACAAACGAAAGATCGGTCCTACGAAGCTATGCTAAGCAATCCGGGAGATATCAAAAGGATAACTCATTGGATCCTAAATCATGGTTGGATAGAGCAATTCCAGATGACAAAGGCGGTCGAAATGCTGCTGAAGGAAAGGAACAGGTCATGCCTTGAGGTCGATAAAGCTGATGTGATTGGGTTATATGGAGGGCACTATGGTGTAACTGCGCTTCCTAAAGGATACATTATAAAAAAACATAGAAATTAAGCAGGAAGATTTTGGGGGTTTTCACCAAAAGGTTTCCTCTCATGTAAATTAGAAAGTATGATAGACACCTACATGGGCCCATAGGGCGCCAAATCAGGATATGAAATCAAATTCAAAATTCAAGATTGAATGAATTAATTTATTTATGATATTCAACGTCGTGCTCGCGCACAGCACGTGAGCTCCTCACGTGCCGGTTAGCCCAGTCTAAACTAAATTACCCAACGTGTTGGCGCCGACTCAGACCCAACAAAGCAAATGAAAGCCAGCATCTTATCATCCAGCGCTCGAAGATTACAGTAAACATGGAGGTCGTCCGCCCAACAAATCTGATGCTATGCGGTTGGTGCTGAATGAAGAAAAGATTTTACAATGAAAAATGAAAGGAAGAAATTGTTTACATCACATCGTGATTTCGTTCGGATCAGACTTGTCGTTGTGCCCTTTCGAAGAAATTTGTAACACGCACCCAGTTATTGAATGCATGAACTCCCTCCGCCGAAGTAAGAGCCCAAGATACGCTGGAATTAGAATTCTGTGCCCTGTGGAGCTGAGCCTGGTAGTGGTTGGGGGGATTCCCCGCATGTGCAGGTTAGAATGGCGTTTTGGTGCTGAAAGTGTCGGTGGTAGTCCGCAAAATCGCCATGACCGGACCATGCAGCTGGTAGATATCCTAGTGTGCGTCGC